ATATAACGCGGCGGTAGGAGCCGTGCAGAGCTCAAACCGGCCTTTCCTGCCAGAGGAGAGGGGTGAGCAGCCAGGCAAGGGATCGCCTTCCTCTCCTTCTCCTCTTCCTCCTCCTCCTCCTCGCTCCTCTCGGCACAAGCTGCCCCATCGCCGGCGTCAATGAAACTGGCCGCGATGATCAAGAAGATGTGTCCCGGCGAAGGCGAGCTGAGCATCCCCGCCAAGAACTGCTACCGCATGGTCATCCTGGGCTCCTCCAAGGTGGGCAAGACGGCCATCGTCTCGCGCTTCCTCACCGGCCGCTTCGAGGAGCAATATACGCCCACCATCGAAGATTTCCACCGCAAATTCTACAGTATCCGCGGAGAAGTTTACCAGCTCGACATCCTGGACACATCGGGCAACCACCCCTTCCCAGCCATGCGCCGCCTCTCCATCCTCACAGGTACTTGGCTGGGGAGCACCAGGAGGAACGGGGGGGGTTCCCTTGCCAGATTTCAGGCTTTCATGCCCAGTTTGGGGATGTTTCTCCAGCCCCAGGAGGAGGGAGGTGGGATTTTGCGTGCACATGGGGTGGGCAACTTTGGTCCCTGCACAGGGTGGATGGGAGGATGCGGGACTGGGGTGCTGGTGGGTCCGTCCCTGCCCAGGTCTGTGTGTGTGTCCCCGTCCCTGCAGCCATCTTACGTTCCCTCTTTGTCCCCAGGAGACGTGTTCATCCTCGTCTTCAGCCTGGACAACCGGGACTCCTTTGAGGAGGTGCAGCGCCTGAAGCAGCAAATCCTGGAGACCAAGTCATGCCTGAAGAACAAAACCAAGGAGAACATAGAGGTGCCCTTGGTCATCTGCGGCAACAAGGGCGACCGGGACTTTTACCGGGAGGTACAACCCCGGGAGATCGAGCAGCTGGTGGGAGGGGACCCCAAAAAATGTGCCTACTTTGAGATCTCAGCCAAGAAGAACAGCAGCTTGGACCAGATGTTCCAGGCACTCTTCGCCATGGCCAAGCTGCCCAGCGAGATGAGCCCCGACCTGCACCGCAAGGTCTCGGTCCAGTACTGCGACATCCTGCATAAGAAGGCGCTGAAAGGCAAAAAGCTGCTGAAAGAGGGGGGACGGGGTAGCACGGAAGAGGCGTACGGCATCGTGGCCCCCTTCGCCCGGCGACCCAGCGTCCACAGCGACCTCATGTACATCCGGGAGAAAGCCATCGGCGGCGGGCATGGCAAGGACAAGGACCGCTGCGTGATCAGCTAGGAGCCCCCCGCTCGCCCCGCAACGGGAAGGAAGGAAGAAGGAAGGAAGGGAGGGGGGAAAGATGCTCGTTTCCAAATTGACTTTGGGCAGCCAGGAGGGTGGGCAGGCGCCCGCTTGGGCAGAGAGGAGGTTGCCTCTTCCCCAGCCTCCCTTCTCCCGAGGGATCACTTTCATCGGCTCCCGGGGATGCGTATGCGAAGGGGGGAGACTTTGGAGGGCAGGAGGGGGGGTGCTGCTGGGACCAGCCTCCTCCAGGCAGAGAGACAAGAAAAGGGCGAGCTGCGGGCGGCCAGGAGGGAGGATGAGTGCAGAGGGCACAGACCTTGGCAGCTCTTTCCAGCCTCGGGCACTGCCTTCAGGAGGGAGGGCAGAGGCTTGTCAGCACCTGCTTGGGGCTTGGGGTTGGTTTTTTGTTGTTTTGGTTTTTTTAACTTGAGAAGCTGTGCGCGGACTCTGGCTCTGTGTCGTGTGTTCGTCTGTGTCTGCAAAACCATGTGCAGAAGACACTCCTAAGCTGTTGCAAAGGCATTGCAGAGTTACAGCCCCAATGGACCAAAAAAACTGACTCTTGTTTACATTTGTCTTGTCTGATTTGCAAGATTTGGGGAGGGCGGGAGAAGTGGGAAGGGTTTTTTAACTAAGAAAATACTAGGCACTTTATGTAGGTATTGTTTGTCATTGACATGAACAAAAAAAATCTTCAAGTGTTTCTACTGTGGGTGAAACTTGATGTTTTATTTTTTCTACAAATTAATAAAATCTTTTTAAAATGACACCTGTGGCTTTGCCTTTCCTTCCTCACCCTGCCCTGTAGCAAAACCAAATCCTGTTAAACTGAGACTAAAAACTAAACTAAAAACTGCCTCTCGACTTAATCTCTTTATTACCCCACTTTCTCCGACTCCCAGCACAAAGGTTTCTGTCCCTGCAAGCAGCCGATTTCTTGCCACACAGGGTAACGAGGGGCCACGCACAGTTACTCAAGCAGCTCCCTGAGCCAGGACTCTTTCCTCACTTTGCCGAGTTACGATCCCGCCAGCCCCATGACACGCTGGGCGCTGGCAAGTCCTTCACCGCAGAAACCCAGCAAACTGACATCACCTCGTTATAAAGAGCTGATTGTGCTTCGTGCCTTTTCCCGATTAACTGAGCACACTTCAGTGATGTCAACAGAGAGTGATTCATTTGCGTCCCGGCCGGGAGATTGTTTTTATTTTGCAATATGAGTAAAGGAAGTACTTTGCTCGAAAGGTCACCTTGGTATCTGATGGTTTTTAATCTCTTCCTAATAAAAAGTTGCTAGAAGTGAAAGGGAAAGCTCTTCAAAGTACAGCTCTCCCTGGCTCCAGCTTCTGTTTCAGTTCATTTTCAGCCCCCATTCCCCCCTCAAGCAGTGGAACAAATCTGTGTTTAATACATGTTAACGGCAAAAAAATCCTATCGAAACCACAAAACTAATGTGGGTGAGTAAGGCTGCAAATCAAACCGCTTCAGTTTCATTTGAAACTTGGATTCAAGTTGACAGAGTTAACTTGTTCCTGTGCTAAGTGCCAGACATTTATTTGGAAACACGTTGTTTCTTCCAGCTCCGTGGATGCCCTGATTTCACAGGAACAGCAACTGGCAAAAAAAGGGAAACCACCATCCAGGCATGAGATACAAGAATTTATTGAGCTGGGACAGGCAGGTAATTTCAGTAATAAAGAGTGTACATTGTGCTTTGTTTATCTCAGTGTTCTGCTTTACTCAGAGTTTACTCACTGGCACCTTCCCAGGGAAAGTACTAGTACAGTATTCCAGCAGGGACAGAGTAAAGCTCAACCACGCCAGCTCCCAGTGAGCAGAGTTACTCACCTCTTGGTTTAGGAAAGGAAAATTCTACCCAAACAGACCTTGCTTCTCTTCTTTTGAAGGTGCAAGTGCTACTTACCCTTGGATGCTGGCTCTCAATTATTTCACTCGCTGGTTTTTCACCTCTCCCACTATGGACCTTCACCATCTTTCAGAATTATTCACAGAACCACGAGACTCAAGGTCCCATCACATCGCTGTCAGTCAGCGAGGTGCGGTGCTGCTTGCCAGGTTGTCACCACTCACGGAGGGCAGGGAGCCCCGGGATCCGTCCGAAGGCGATAACAACATTCAGGAGCTTTCCATCAGCCGCTGGCAAATGTTCAAGGTGCTCAAATGGTTGTGTTTGTGGGAAACCCCTGGAGCGCTTCGGATGTGGAACTGACCCGTCCTGTTGAGCCTGACTTCTGTCACACACGGAATAACTAAAAGCTCTTGACATTTCTGTCCTTTGTTTTGAGTCTGTTTTCCTTTTAACAGCAAGATGCCCCATGTACTGCTGACAAGCTGCACGAGCCCAAGGAGATTTCCCCACCCAAAGCCCACCGAAACCCTCTCCCCTAGCAGTCCCTACTTTGCTCTCCCGTCACCCTGCTTCCCCAAAAGCGATGTAAAGTCACAGGAGCTGGGCCCAGGCTGTGTACATCCTCTGGGCTGCCAAATTCCTGCCCCTGCTCAGCCCACACCCACTCAGAGAATACACAAGAGGAGCAGTTTGGAATTTCTAAATCTTTACTTGACCCATCTCAGACACAACCATCACTTGTTTAAAAAAAGAGAGAAAAAAATACAAAAGTAATTGAAAGCAATCATTCCTCTTTCGACACACGCAGACTGGAGAGTGCCCCAGGGACCCTTTCCAGGAGCAAGGCCAAACAGCTCACGCTTTCCTCTTACGCTCGCTTTTGGTGTTTGGCCACTTTTAAGTGGAAAAAAAATGTCAGAAAATGCCCCCTTTTTCTTGTTGAAGTTAACCAGCAGCTACTTTGACCCTTGGCGAGGAGAAACATGATGTCTCCTGCTTCCTTGAATGTAAAAAAAGAAAACCTCACCTCACCCCGAGAAAAAACAGGAGAGACGCGTATATAAACGCACAGTCCTCCAGCAGATCAAAGTGAACGTACCACTGTAATCATCATACATGAAGCACACTGTTCTGGTTCAATGTCACACGCCTGTGATCCACACAGACACAACTTCAGAGTAACGCCACCAAAAAAGCATGAAAGAAAGAAAAGGAAACTTCTGCCACCTTTTTCTCTCCTGCTCAGCCAGGAGAGGAGGTATCTCAGAGCCGCAGAGCAGAGCTGAGCCCTTCCTACTCCTTGGGGATTTCAAACATGCAAAGGCTCTTGTACTTCTGCAGCAGTTCGTTTTTGGTCCGGACCTGCTCCCGCAGGTTCTGCAGCTGCTGCTGCTGCTGCTCTGGGCTCACGCCGATGCCAGGCATGGAGTTGATCAGCTTTCTCATCTCCTGGAACTTGTTCTTCAGCTCATTCAGCACCTGGTGAACATCCTGGCTGTCCTTGTCCATGCTGCAGACAGAAAATCAACACATTGTTGAATTCTCCTATTGGAAACACCCCCACAGGTGTGACTCTCATTTCCAGTACAACCAAGGCTTAAACTGGAATTCACTGGGAAACATTTGCTCTTGGTATCTACCTACACACACCTAATTCACCTATCCCAATAAAATGGACACAGATACACAGACTAGGCAGTTTCTGGGCAAACTGGCTTTCTGCTGA